TTTTTGAATACTATGCGTCTCTATACATAATTTAAATCACTTTTCCTGTTAAGTTTGTGTACTTACATACATTAAAATACGATTTTTCAAGTGTACGAATATTTATTTCCCCCCACTGTATAAGTGTCCTCCTAGCTAGGTTCTAGAAGCATCCTCCTAGCTAGGTTCTAGAAGCATCCACCTAGCTAGGTTCTAGAAGTGTCCTCCTAGCTAGGTTCTAGAAGCGTCCTCATAGCTAGGTTCAATAAGCGTACTCCTAGCTAGGTTCTAGAAGCGTCCTCCTAGCTAGGTTCAATAAGCGTACTCCTAGCTAGGTTCTAGAAGCGTCCTCATAGCTAGGTTCTAGAAGCATCCTCCTAGCTAGGTTCTAGAAGCGTCGTCATAGCTAGGTTCTATAAGTGTCCTCCTAGCTAGGTTCTAGAAGTGTCCTAGCTAGGTTCTAGAAGCGTCGTCATAGCTAGGTTCTAGAATAGTACCTACTCCTAGCTAGGTTCTAGAAGTGTACTCCCAGGTTCTAGAAGTGTACTCCTAGCTACGTTCTAGAAGTGTACTCCTAGCTACGTTCTAGGAGTGTACTCCTAGCTAGGTTCTAGAAGCATCCTCCTAGCTAGGTTCTAGAAGGCTGTATCGCACAGATAAGGTGTTTAGAATCACCCCGGGGGCAAGAACACATAACCCCTTCCTGGAGGCTAGAGCTGCATAACTTCAAGGGGAACAATGGGGATTCCATACTGAATTTGAATAATAATATTAATGGTCTTCGTTTGGGGGAGAGGGTGGCTTCCTGTTCACCTGTTCATTTAGCTCCGTTCAAGAATTAAAAGTTACCAGTTTTTGGAACTGTTGTCGTTTCTATCACAAATAATCATCAAATAATTGTTATCACCGATTTGTTATCAATTGACCTCAGAAGGTGATAACCGCCATCACCTGCAGTGAAGCCTGGAGGGGGTATGCTGAGGTGCTCGAGAGGCTGCTGCTGTTGCTGCGCAGCTGCAAGGTTTGCAGCTGCCGCCTGCGCCGCAGCAACTGTAACAAACAAATCATTTAGCCAAAATTTGCACGAAAACTACTAGAACATGAAATAACATGAAATACTACATAGTAAACATGTACACTATGCCAAATAATATCAATAACATGAAATACATAGTAAGCATGTAAACTATGCCAAATAATCTAAATAACATGAAATAATACATAGTAAACATGTAAAATATGCCAAATAACCTAAATAAAATAAAATACATAATAAACATGTAAACTATGCCAAACACTGACAACTAATGAAAGGGAGCTGAAGTGGCAATGTCGCCATCTTTTAGGCACCATATAAATTGAATATATTGAATATTCTCTGCTTGAGAATATTAAATATTCAAATAAATATGTATAAAAATAAATAAAATAAATATTTAATTTATTCTCAGCTTGTAGACACAGATGCATGCTTGCACTAACTCTAGACAAAAGACAGCCATCACAAAAAGTATTCTGGTAGAATAAAACTTATGATTTAGTTCAGAGATTATGGCGAACTTTACATCATAAATAAGTTTTTAATAGAAATCGCTGAGAGATGGTAAACTTTTCACGCGTGCAAAGGAATGGCTATGCATTGTTGAAATAGTTACAGATATTCATATGCCATGTTAAAATAATACATAAATTTTGTCATGCTTTCACTATTATCACAATTACGGGTATTTTTTCGTAACTTCGGGAGCATATATGTTTTGTTGTACGGTACTATTAATAGCCACTTCGATTCCCGTTTCAGTCATGTCTTCATCGTGCTTCAATGCTGCTTCAGGCATGCTTCAGCCATGTTTCAGTCGTGCTTTATTGACGTTTCAGTCATGCTTGTCATTCTTCAGTCTCTCTGACCCAACGGAGCGAGCAAGAGCCTAAAATATAAGCCGTGGCGGAAGGCAACTTTCGTTTGTACCGAGCAACAAAAATTATTACGGTACATGAATTTTCATACAAATTCCTACACGAATTTGTATATGACTACCTATGTACGAAAATCATCCACTTTTAGATGTTGGGGCTAGAAAGAGAATTGAAAAGAAGTCCGTGTAAATATGTTAATAAATTTGATGGCGCAGCAAGCAACTGGTTAAAGACGGAAAATATTGTCAGGCGGTAATGATAAAAATGTACGAAAAAAATAATCCAATGGAAAGTAAAAAGAACGAAGCGAAAATTATCTATAACGTAAGTAAGAGAAACGAGGCAAAGCATAACACTCAGAAAATGATCGAGACCCAATAATGACACACTTTCTTACTCAGGGCACGAGCAAAGAGCGGACGTACAGTAGAACTGATACGCCCTTTGCCTGTCCAAACAGGGTCTAGACAACTCGTACAACTGTAAGAGGTGCATCGCTATTGGGACATAGTATCGTTCATTTTACTGAGTGTAAACAGTGGAGCACTCACCGGGATGTGCGATACCGTCTTCTGAGAGACGCGTGTGAGGGAGGGGTTCATCATAATCATAGTGAGGATAGTGCGTACATAGTGACTGATGTGCTAAAACTGTACATGTGCTAACGTTACAGCTACCATCAACATTCAGCTACTACATGGGCTAATGTTACAGCCACAACATCCTGTTCCTACATTCATCCATCACCAACATCATGTTAAAATAATTCGTATATTGCACACTTTCCAGCAATATCCTACATTTTAAAAATTGCCTTGCTTCAATTATAAACTGACTATGAACTCTTTTCTCCATTCATTCATTCATAATTCAGAACATCCATGTTATTGATGTTAATTAACATTGTAGATTCTATTCAAGATAATTGAAAGGTAAGCAAGAGGAAACTTCAACAACATACCTCTCTTTTAACGAAGTCAAATAAAGCTGTCATAGGTTTATTATATTTGCAATCAAGGAAATAACTTCGCATATATCACCACACTAGGTAATGGTGATACTAAATTAATTAATTACGTATCACCACACTAGGTAATGGTGATACTAAATCAATTATTTACTAGTGATACTAAAGCAGACAATACTACGTGCGTGAATAGCACAACGCTAGCAATAAGACTTACACACAATGTAGATTATTTGACACCAGTCATAATCAACACAGCGTTCAACATGAGACAAGCTGATGAGCTATTTTACCCTCACTCGTTGGCTGACATTACATAAATAGACTTGCAGTCATAGAAGTTCTTTAATTATATTATAATTTTAGCTTTTTGCAGTATCAGGAATGATGAACTCGAATGTGAATTTCCGAGAGACTTAAGCAACGTTCAGGACTCACAACTTGACATCAATAATTTTCGGGACTGTAGAAAACAGGTCGACATTAACAGTTGTAAGTTAATATCATGAATGGCTTTCATAAATGTAGATGATGTCATAAAATCATCAAACGACCTTCAGTTATAGTGACTTGGCAAGCTACAGGATCTCAAGATCCCCAGGTAACATGGAACCAAAATTTCGTTCTGGGGCACAATCTAAGGACATGCTGAAGCACCACCGTCGACACCCACCATGACACAGAGAAATAAATTGAACTTTGAAAGGCTCAAACCCACGGCCAGCCCTTGTCATCGCGGTGCGGCTAGCGAAGGTGTAGTGCAGTGGCTGCTACCACTGCGCTAGAGTAACTGCTACCACTGCGCTACAGTGACCACCACTGATGTGCTTCAGCGGCTACTAACCACTGCGCTACAGCACCGGTAGCTGCCACCACTACACTACATTGACTGCTACCACTGCACTACAGTGACTGCTACCACTACACTAGAGGCACTAACCAGCCTGTTGTTGGTGCTGCTGTTGTTCGAGTTGTTGCTTTTGCTGCTCGAGTTGCTGGAGTTGCGTCGCCGCGTGCTGGACGAACGCATTGTGCTGCTGCTTGTAACCCTGTAATAACGGCAAAATATTGGCGAAATTTAACAAATAAAACATTGAAATGACCGCAAAATGTTGATCAACTATAACGGACTCAGCAATAGCAGCAAAATATCAAAAAATTATAAACATCAAACAATATAATAACAGCTAAACGTTGACTTTAAAACATTCCACGATGCTATTCAATAATTCATTATTTTTAGCCATAGAATGACATAAGATGATAACCTGAGTGGGTGGTGGTGAAGGTTAGAGCGATCCTCGCAGGTGGTGTCCAGGTGGTGGTGCTCACCTCGCAGGTGGTGTCCAGGTGGTGGTGCTCACCTCGCAGGTGGTGTACTGGTGATGGTGCTCACCTCGATGCTCACCTCGAAGGTGGTGTCCAGGTGGTGATGCTCACCTCGAAGGTGGTATCCAGGTGGTGGTGCTCACCTCGAAGGTGGTGTAGGTGGTGGTGCTCACCTCGAAGGTGGTGTCCAGGTGATGATGCTCACCTCGAAGGTGGTGTCCAGGTGGTGGTGCTCACCTCGAAGGTGGTGTCCAGGTGGTGGTGCTCACCTCGAAGGTGGTGTCCAGGTGGAGGGTGATGGTGTGAATGACCTGGGGGAATTCCTCCAGGTTGCGTTTCTCCAAGGCGGCCCAGGACTCCTTGGGGTTCTGGAGCTGCACCAGAATGTCGTCCTCCAGCTTCAGCTTGCCCTCCCACAGCGCCAGCAGCTGCAACAGTAATTAATATTGGTGAGGACGGGGGAAGAGCAACAGTGAGGAAAGGGGAACAGCAACAAAGATGAAGGGGAACAGGTGAACAGCAACAGTGAGGAAGGGGAACGGGTGTGCAGAAACAGAGGAAGCGTCACAGGTGGTTGCATGAGAAACAAACAGAGACCAATGGTGAAAACAGAGATCAACAGAGAGGTGACGCGCGAGACGAGCATAGAAAGGACAAGTAAATAGCAAGAGAAACAGAGAAGGAAACATGAACGAGCATGCAATTCTTTCCCATTAGTTATATTAATTTATACATATATTCATCCTATTTCCCAATTTTACACAAAAAGTCACCTTTTCAAGCTTAGCTTTCTTATCCTCGGGGGCAGAGTTAGCAGCATGACAGAACATAGGCACGAGAACATGTTGCAGTCTCTCCTTGAGCTCCACGCTGCCCTTGCGTACGCACGAGTGCAGCACGTCGTTCATCAGGTAAATTATGTGCAGTTTGTGAGCAAAAGGAGCTGAATGACACGTGGCTTTATAATTTAAATATTGGGCAATCCATTTGTTCCTTGGCTCGTCGGTGGCGTGGGTAAAAATCCAGAGTTTGCCTGCTGAAATGGAGTCTTTGGTGCAGGTTTCGGTGATGGTTGAAAGCAAGTCTGATAGTTCGGATTCCACCAAGTTGAGTTCCTCAGCTTCTTTCTTCAGGAGTTCTCCTTTGGCCACAAAAAGGCCTTCCCGAATCTGGGTTTCTTTTTGTTGCTGCAGAACCTGCACAAAATTACAGGTGATTTAAATAAAAAAGATTTCTGATGCAAATTCCTTAAGTTTGAAGAATTACATTTTTGAGGCCACTTTATAAATAAATTTTGTAAGGATTATTACCATAAGACGGCTAACAAACAGCCAGCAATCTAGCCACGAAAATTTAATGATTTGTATTCGAAAAAACTACGACAGTGAGTTAGCAGTTTTTTTGGCAGCCGACAGCCTAACTACAACATCCTGATGTTTATTTACAAGTGCTAGAAACTGTACAATTCCATAGCCAATGATGTGGTCTTCATTTAACAGTACAAAGGATCAGGTTCTATCATCGAGATGCAAACGGTCATTAAGGTCACGAGTGGTGGCATTAATGACTTTCATAAATCAACCTCTACAGATTATCATGCTACAGGACTCGTGTAAATGGCTACTGGGTAGTAGGTACTTCCGAGACCAGTAGTGTCAATACACGAGACAAATAGCACTAAATAGTGGCGGTTAGTAATTGAAAGTTATACTATCCGCCACTACTGGCCAGGTGTTTAAGCATTTCTACATTGAGGGGTTGATTGATTAAAAGACCATAAATGAAGAACCTCAGACACTTCCATGAAATCAACTCCTTAATGATGATAGCCACCAACCTGATGTTGGGCTGTGAGGTTCTGTTCGCTCTGTTTGATTTGATCCTGCAGAGTTTGCTGCTGCTGGACGATGGCTTCGATGGCAGCAGCGTTATTGGCTGTAACAACAGCTGCTGCTGCCGCCGCAGCTGCAGCAGCAGCAGCCGCTGCGGCAGCTGCACTCCCGCTGTCTGGGACCGGAGGTGGAACTGAGACGCTCTGTAAAAAAATATAAAATTTAAATATCCATTTAAAAAATAGATGTGTAAAAATTTACATTGGTAAACTACTCTAAACACTTTAAATGACTTCTTGTTCATTATATACAATAATTAGTTTAAAACTAACGCAGGTGATCATTAACATCAATTTATTAATCTACCATTAAAGATATCATTACCATCATTAATTGAGATAAAATGGTTTTAAGGGGAGCGTCTGGCCAAAAATTTTGGATTTTGGCTTCTCAGGTTTTTAGTCTCATTTTATTGATGGTAGAAATATGAAAAATTGAGACTCAGAAAAGTATCTGAAACGGTCTCGGAGTATTACAATCGAGCAATTTCATCTCAAGATCATCGATGAATCAAACTGGCTCCGTGACAACCTTGACAACAACGTCTAACCCTGGACTATACCGAGCAATGGCAAATGCAAAAAAGTGGGAGTTCTCCAAGAGGCCGGTGTAATCTATAAATTTTGCTTCAAAGATGGTTGTAGACTTCTTCATTATTTGGATTACATTCGGGTAATTGCAGTAACGACTACGACATTGGTCAGCCGTTTCTCCTACCATCTGAGACAAGCTCACAACCAGACCAGGTCTCAATGTATTACAAAGAAGCAACTTCATCTCAAGATCATCGATGAATCCAACAGGCTTCGTGACACTCTTAAAAACGTCAAAACCCTGAATATACGCAACAACGGTACCTGCAAAGAAGCAAGAGTTCTCCAAGGGTCCGATGTATTCTAATTTTTCCTAAAAGAAGGTTGGAGACTACTTCATTATTTGGATTATATTAGAGTCATTGGAGTAACAATTGTGACATTGAACAGCTGTTTCTCCTACCACCTGAGACAAGCTAACAACCAGACCAGGTCTAAAAGCATTACAAACAAGCAACTTCATCTGAAAATTGTTGATGAATTTAACAGGCTTCGTGACAACAACATCAAACTCCAAACTAAACGCGATAATGGCCCTTTCAAAAACGCAGGAGTTATCCGAGAGGCCGTTATAGTCTATAAAAATTTTTGCTTCAAAGAAGGTTGTAGAATTCTTCATCTTTTGGACTACATCGGACACTTTGGATCAACAACCAGGACACCGAGATGCTGTCTCATTAGCACCTCATCTAGCTACCTCATCTTTAGAATTGTCCGACTCTTTGATAATTTAAATCAACGAATTCTCTGGTTATTAATCGCACGCGTATAAATCAACAACTTCTGCCATCTAAAACTAAGATTCAAGATATATGAACCTCCTCTAGATTTACCACTGGTCACTAGTTCATTGTTAGGCATAGCATACTAGTACGTGGACAAAATCATTCTCAAGCTGAGGGAAATACAATGTACAAAAAGATTCATCAACATTACTAACTTAAAATTTGAATTCAATTATCCCAATTATCTTACCCATACCAACAGAACCTTGAAAAATTGATCAATTTTGTACACATCCATACAAATGCGTCGTGTCGGTCCTGATGTTGGAACAAAAAGATCATCCAATATCAGAGCTGATCCAATATGAGAATTGATCCAATATCAGAACTGATCCAATATCAGAACTGATCTAATATCAGAATTGATCCAATATAAGAACTGATCCAATATCAAAACTGATCCAATATCAAAACTGATCCAATATCAAAACTGATCCAATATCACAACTGATCCAATATCACAACTGATACGATAACAGAACTGACACAATATCAGAACTGATCCAATATCGAAACTGATCCAATATCAACTGTCCAACATAAAAACTGATCCAATATCAGAACTGAGCCAATATCAGAACTGAGCCAATATCAGAACTGATCCAATATCAGAACTGATCCAATATCAGAACTGATCCAATATCAGAACTGATTCAATATCAGAACTGATTCAATATCAGAACTGATTCAATATCAGAACTGATCCAATAACAGAACTGATCCAATAACAGAAGATCCAATAACAGAACTGATCCAATATCAGAACTGAAGCAATATCAGAAATGATCCAATATTAGAACTGATCCAATATCAGAACTGATCCAATATAAGAACTGATCCAATAACGGAACTCCTCCAATACCAAATGCCTGCTAGCCCTTGTAACACCAGCTCATATGGTGCCAGTGTCTCGTTGCTCCCTCAAGACCGAACTACTTCGTAGAGCCTACAACTGTTGACTAAAGTCTTTTGTAATTCTCTTTTCTGCCTTTGCCTTTGTTCACTTAGATTTATTCTTAGTTCCCTCAGTAACAAGCACCCAGTTTATAACACGTCACGATAATCTCTTTGTAGATAAATAATAAAAAATTAGAAATAACTGACCTCAACAACATGCATTTATCTTAATAATAATAATAATAACAAAACAATAACAATAGTCAATAGTATAAGTCCCACCTGAGGAAACTGAGGGGTGGGAGGCGGCTGGTCAGGGAGGGAGGGAGCCGAGTAAGGGTTGCGGGCCTCGCCAGGAGGATGAACGGAGAAGTTAGAGTTCTCCTGAAAATAATGTTCTTCTGGATAATGTGGTTCATTGACTTTTTCAACTATTTTTATGTCTCGAGCTTTGATTATGATTTTATTTTGCCAGGTTCATGGGATTTTTTAAATTAATTTAGCCACACAGCAAAGCCCGAGTTTCACATATTCATACTGTCATTTCAGAAATTTATTATGAATTTAGGTAATATTGATTATTTTGGGGCACACTAAATACTGTACAATATTTACTGTATTGTTGTTAAATCGAAACCAAAAGCCTCTTTCTGATGCCACATGAGGGAGGAAAGAAGCTTGCCATGCATGGCGCGAAGTAAACAAGTCCAAAGTAAATAATTACAAAGCAAAACTATTTTGTGCAGTTTAATGAGGTTTTGATACTTGCAAAGCAATTATCATCACATCCAGAGAATGAGGTAGTACAGCAAGTAGTGACACTGTGGCAGTGACACAAAGATGTCACTATGTCCACTTAATATGGGTGAAGTAAAGCATCATTTACCCTCTAACTACGGGCCTATTATCTGTACAATGATATATGTGAGTATAGGTCTCATGAAATAGTTAAAATTCGTAACGAAAGATAATTTTGCTGCTTTATTGATTGTACTAGCAATCTGGGATTGTCTAGCTAACTAAGGAGCTTCTAGGATTGTCTAGATAACTAAGGAGCTTCTAGGATTGTCTAACTAACAAAGGAGCTTCTAGGATTGTCTAACTAACAAAGGAGCTTCTAGGATTGTCTAACTAACAGAGGAGCTTCTAGGATTTTCTAACATTCATTTCCATAACAATGTGATGAATATTTAGGCCATTTGCTTTGTCTTAATATTCTTGGTAAATTTGCGGTGCAGGCAATCGAGTTATTTTAGAACAACAGAGAGAGGCTTAGATATGTCGTCAGCGCAGCAGTTGACCTAGAGATGAACAAAATGCTTACCAAGCAGTTAACATTGAGTTACCAAGCTCAGTCAATGTTGAGTTACTAAGTAGTCACCATGAGGTTTAGTTACCATGGAGTTGGACGAGACAGACACGCTGGCCATGCTGCTGGCAATGTTCTGGTAGGAGTCGCTGACGGGAGGTAGATGAGGGGGTGGTTGCTGGAGCATGGCTTGTTCCTGGGGGGCTTGTTGCTCATACTGAATGATAATAACAAACTAATTAACCTTATGAAAATAATTAGTAGGATAATAACAGAGATAAAAGCTGGCAGTATGAAAATAAGTCAGTTGTATAACTATACTATGGAAAATGACAGAGCAAAAACATGTTCAATTGCACAACAATAACAAATAAAAAATCATGATGAAATAATCCAATTGTACAAAAAATAAAATATGAAAATGATCCAATACCATTGTTAATGGGCAGCTGAGTAGGTACAGTATTGATTTCAGAAATAGTCCAGAAACCAATATATATGTTACAATTTACTTGATAAATTTAACACCAGCAAAAATATTTGTTTGGTATAGATAAAGGGCAGCTGTGTTAATAAAAATTTTAATTCAAAAAGATGGCAGTTGTAAAATTTTACTCTAACGTAAATAAGAGAGTGAAGGATAATTTTTCACTTTAAATTACGACAGGTGCCTTAACATCTTTTAAAGCTTTTATTGATGCAAATTAATGATCTTTTACCAAGATATTCCCACTAAAGTTTTTGAAAGCTGATGACTAATTATGCCTCATATGAACATTTATTGAAGAAAAAGAATAAATAGTTGATCTGTTACAATAGAAATTCCTCCTTTAAGTGCAAATAATTGGCAAACAAAAGGTAAAAAAGTGAATTTTAAAGAAATAAGTTGATGATTGCCAAGCAAATAACAATTAATCCAACCTGATCTGGATAACGGGGAGGAGGAGCGCTAGAAAAATTGTCATGCCGAGCCTCTCCATTATTGGAGGAGTATGGCGAGGGGTGTGATGTGAGGTACCCGGCATACCCCATAGGAGGCTGGGATGAAGGAGGGTATGGGGGCTGCTGATGTATTGATGATGGGGGGTATGGGTAGTTAGGGTACTGGGCAGCTGTAGGGTATGCAGCAATAGGAGGTGGGTATGTTTGAGGTGTGTTCTGGATGTTGGAGAGGGACATGTTCTGTTGGGGGGGCGGCAGCATGTGCTGGGGCGGCTGGTGCTGTTGACGGTGCTTGATGACTGAAAGTTGATCCAGTTAATTAATTTGTTATGCATAAAATGAATGATCTGATTCTCATACTTTGATTTGGTCTAAAGATACAACTTAGACTGAAAATTGATCCAGTTAATTAATTTGTTGTGCATAAGAAGGATGATCTGATTCTCTTACTCTGATTTGGTTTAAAGATACAACTTAGACTGAAAGTTGATCCAGTTAATTAATTTGTTATGCATAAGAAGGATGATCTGATTCTCTTACTCTGATTTGGTCTAAAGATACAACTTAGACTGAAAGTTGATCCAGTTAATTAATTTGTTATGCATAAAATGGATGATCTGATTCTCATACTTTGATTTGGTTTAAAGATACAACTTAGACTGAAAGTTGATCCAGTTAATTAATTTGTTATGCATAAAATGAGTAATCCGATTCTCATACTTTGATTTGGTCTAAAGATACAACTTTGAACAAGTATTTCATTTCAAATTTTATAATGCTGAACCATATACGGTAGTGAACAGTATAACTGTTAGAGAATTACCACTACAGCTTCAATTTTCAGCCATACTTAAAAAAACCTGGGAGTTACATGGCATTAAATGTGCTTCTATGTTAATTAGCAAATTATTAACAAATCATAATATACCTATAACAAAATAATAATGCCTGGAAGGAATCATACATAATATAAACATGAATTTCACTGTCAACTTACTTGCTTGTTCAGTTGTGACTTTGAATTGGTAATAGTTGAAATAATCTCCACCAAATAAAAAACTGAACTTGGGATTTTCTTTCTGCTTGCTTTTGGTCATTTGCTCAAATTCAGGTCCATTGCGAGCCACAAACTGGGCAAGCTTGTCTATGATATTCTTCAGCTCCTGATCTGTGAACAAACAAAAACAAAATTATAACAAAATAGAAAAGTGTCTACAGATCCTTTTTTCGAAATATTAGGCTGATTCACAGATGAAAACAAAAGCTAAACAAGAGATACCATCTCATGCAAAATATTCCATGGGCAGTTTTGATTCATTTATGGTTGGTTGCATGTTGCAGAAATAACAGCATATTGCAGAAATAACTGCATAGTGCAGAGATAACTTCATACTGCAGAGATAAAAAAAAAAAATAAGTTATCATTCTCAACACAAAAAAAGAGCCCCTATTTATGAAATTCTATCCTGGCATATCTTCAAGTTTCACATAAGCTCACAACCCTTTCCTTATTTGATATTTCAGTCATGACAAAGCAAAATGGCATACTTTTGTCTGCAGTTTCAAGTCTTTAGAGAATTTTACTGAACACAATATTCCAGATTGAGGTTTTAAAAAATTTGTTATATAACTCACTATTTTGCTATAATATATCATGTGCTTACAGCTTAACTAACATGTAAAAATTTTATGCAACTGGTTATTATGGAATAAATATGGATAAAAGTTTCAATTTGGAATATTGGGCAGAAGTATCCAATACATTAATCATAAGAAAAACAATTGTTTCATGGGTGGTTTACAAAACTCAAATGCAAGAATGTGTTATATTTTTCTCAATTGTTACTGAAAAATTAGGAAAAGCCTATAGGAAAAGACTATACTGTAGGTCTGTAGGGAGAACAATTTCTGCTTTATTCACAAATGGCTTCTGCCAGTCTGGCTTTGCCATATTTTCCAGTTTGATAATTGCACTGGCCAAAGGCCTAATCATCAATGGCAATAATGCCCAATATTTAATATTTCATTACAAGCAATAATGAATTCTTATACAATAGATTTTTAGAACTATTTTTGACTTTACATTTTCTGCCAGAAATGGGTGTTGATATAAAATATAAATATGTATTTAAAAATTGAAATAAATGCTAATAGTCCATCTTCTAAAGCAGGGGTCTCCAAACTTTTTTCACCAAGGGCCAAGATCAAGCTTACTGAAACCTTCGCGGGCCGGAGAAGTTCGTGGGCGGAGGGAAGGGCAGCATAAATTACGAATAAAATTCGATAGTCAAAATTAGCATCCAGCTTGTCTGCAAGAAGCTTTCCTTTGACTTACGAATAGTTTGACGAGTGTTTTGTATCATAATGTCTCCGAATGTTGCACTCTTTCAGCACTGCAATACTATCATTGCATATTAACCATAATGCTTTGTTACCAACTTATCAAACTCGATAACAAAGTAGCATGCATCCAACTTTTCCTTTAATTCACGGCATTCAGAGCCCACATTTCTCTTCTTTCCTGGTCCCGACATTGTCACCCGAAACACTTCCAAACTTTGGTTCACACTGGCAAGCAGACCAGGACGATAATGTTCTCCGCAATCAAAGGGTCTTGGGTGGTTCATGGCAACACTTGTAAATATTTTATCAATTTTTAGAGACACCAGTCACACCCATTTACTGTTTTTTAGTTCATGCGTAATCAGAAATAAACGCCACGTTCGATTTTTGTACACATTTTGTTGACATACGAGATACCCTCGGCGGGCCGGATGGAACCTAGCCGAGGGCCGGATCCGGCCCGCGGGCCGTAGTTTGGAGACCCCTGTTCTAAAGTTTTCAAATTCCCAAAATTTGAGAGGTGGGTGATGGATAGGCATAGCTCGCATAGGCTACCATAGGCCTAACCAGTAACCAGTAACCAGAAGTTCAGAAAAAGAAGTTCCATAGTGGCAAACCAGAGCTTTTTTAGAATCAGTTCATTTTTAATTTCCTCATTTACTCGAGATTTAAACCAATTTCTTAAGTATGATAATGCTGGTAGCCTACTGCCTATCCAGGATACTTTAATGGTCTACATGTTAGGACTCAAAAATAAACTTGAGGAGTTGATGGAGAGTCTAAAAAACTCTCTGCTTTGCCACTATGATTTTCAAGAACAACCAGATGTCACTGTCAGAACTCAAAATTAACAACAAATTCCAACACAGAAACACAAACATGATTTACACTTGAAAATAAAATTTATTCTCAATACTCAAGGTCAAATTCTACTAAAACATTGGCATGAAAAATATGATTACTAGCTACATGAATAAATATCAACAACATATTACCTGGTGGTGGCTGTGGTAAATCCATGGTTAATATTTATTGAAACTTGAAGGGCGAGTAATTAATTATTATATTATTAAATAGCAGGTGCAACCTAGTTGCAGATGAGACTTAATAAATAATTAATTATGATTATGAATAAGAGCCAGTCAGCCAATGAGGCTATGAGCCACTGTCAAGCCACTTGGCCACAGTAGTAGGCACTGAAACACCAAACACGAAATGCTACTTATCCGGCAACGGCAAGCGGCATCATGTCGATTATCAATTGATCATGATTAGCAGACAAGATCGGGGTAGGCCTATATTTACACGTAACATGAAGAATGATAGCCTATAATATAATAAATTAATCTAATCAATGATGATACTTCAGCTATGTTTTAACATAGAAACGTCATTCTTATATTTCACGGACGACTAATGAGTACAGAATGAGTTAGTAGGATAGTAGCCTAGACCCTAGATTCATTTGGAAAAGAAAAGCCGCATCGCCTACTTCATACGGTACTGAGTTCCGCCGGACGGAGGACCAAGCCATTTTTCATGACCCAACTACCGACTGCTGAAATGATCGAACTAACTATCGTTCTGCTACATTGAATCTTTACAAACATCATTCAAAATTCCGAACGAATGACATTAAAACATAATGAGTTGAAAGAAGTCTTTCAAAAATCGAATTGAACGAGTGTTGAGAATTAGTCTTATCTCTGAAACTGCTCAATTCGTCATTTCATGCGTGATCAATCGCACAAAATTTAAATAGCATAAATTGCCAGAAGAGAATGAAGCACAACCGGCAGAGTTGAAAATGAAGTTCGAGCTCGCAGGCGAGTTCGCACGCGAGTCGCTGAAGTGTCGAATCGGTGTTCGACCACTGAAGTGTCGAATCGGTTTATTTGCATGACAAGTTGTAGGTATCAAACACGAAGAAACATAGCAATAGTTTATGCCTTATTCTGTGGTTTGTATAAACACTTCATTACAGAATACTAATTGAATGACACGTTGTGTAACTTCATACATGAAGGAAAGGATATATTGAGCGAGAGGACTCGATCGCCATCAAGCGAATGTTGCCGGAAAGCGGGAGCCACACCAAAGCTCTAAATAACGCGCGAAATTTCAGTATAGGCTGGGACTCTTATCGTGCTAGTGTGGGCTGTTGTTTGTTCGTATTCCTTTGGTTATGTTTTATTCTTATGATAAATTCTATTATAAAATTGCAGTGTGTAAACGTGCTAGTTACTGTAAAATTATACTGAGAGTTATCGAGGATGAATGTTTACGAAAAAAGTTTCGATACCGAAACTGTGAAACAAGCTCAGCCTCACGAAACGCAGGGATAGGCTACGCCATTCACGAAGCTGAGACGCCATTCTTATCTCATCTGGCTCTGGCATCTTCTTAAACTTGACGAATACTCTATGCTTTGATGTCTAATTGCAGGTTAATCATTCACTTAATCATCTCTTAATGTTTATTTATACTGATGAGACATCATTTAGTAACATTGACGGCTAGCTATTTTCTTTTATTAGGTATATTATTTATGCTAACTTATTTTACTCTTCGGTCTATTCCCTTTATTTTTGTTAGGTTATAATGTATAGACATTAGACAGCCTATTGGCTCTACGTGTACGTGCACGCACACTGAAAACGTCCCCACTAGCCCAGTAAATGAAAATGATATTAGGTATGTTTTGATTGATTCTATTTCTATTCAAGTTTTTTTTTTACTTTGTTATTTATTGAAATTTCCCTCGAAGTTTGACTTACGTCAGTTAGGCTACGTGTTCGTTTGAACCCTGAGCGGCAGAAGCCACGGCCACGGCCCAGGATAATTGCTTCGTAGAATAATAATAGTAATTTGAACTAATGTTCAAGTGTCTTGAAATAGAAATGTATTTTCATTAGTAGAGTTCTTGTAGAATCAAATTTATTCATATTCTTTCATTTTTGATCAGCTTCCGACCCTCTTAGATTTAACAACCTATTCAAGGCTATTGTCTGTATTGAGTTAAATCAGGGGTTCCAAAACTTTTTCTGGCTGGCGCCCGCTTTGGCTCCCCAGTGAATTTCTAGCGCGGTAGCGCCCCACACAGACATACGCCTCTTTCTTGAAATTTAGTACGCTGCAATTTTAAAAGATAAAGGTTAAACACAATTGTGATTTGTGTATTTCACAAATAGAACCCTATTTAGTGAACCAATATGTTTTTCAGCTGTTTTCACTGTTTCAGCACTAGAAACCTAGGACGTCGCGGGCGAATTTGCGGCCGGACTCGTGGCCGGTCTCACGACCAATCTCTAAATTCAATTATCAAGCAATACAGTATCTCCCAAACTGGCAAACTAATGAACACAGCTCTATGAAACTTGGAACACGTATTCATCAAAACCGAACGGTGATGTTTAGCTCGTAATTTTTTTTTTAATTTCACCTTCATTCGTGAGTTACGCGTATATTGCGAAACAGGCCGAAATTCGCAGTGGTCAACGAATTTCTTTCAAACTATTGAACAGATTTGAACGAAATTTTGAAAACACATTCCTAACTACAAAACGGTGATTTTTTTAGCTCATAAAATTTTTTCGATTTTACCTTCGTTTGCGAGTTTTTTTCATTTCACCGTCATTCATGATTTCACACTTATATTCGTCGATTTCACCTTATATTCGGCCCGTATCGACGTGTAATTTATCACTTAAGTTCGCGGCGATCAGGAACTTTCTTCTAAACTACAGAACAGATTCCAACGAAACTTTGTGTATAAATACCTAACCTCTCAACGGTGATGTTTAGCTTGTGACATTTCTATTTTGCTTTCGTTCGCGAGTTATACAGATATAGGAGGAACGACCTGCTTTTCTACCGGCCGGTTCAACCAAGAGCCTTTATACGTATAGCCGTATAACTCGCAAACGATGGTAAATAGAAAAAATTGTAAACATCACCGTTGCTGAGGTTAGGTATTTAAATACAATGTTTCGTTCAAATCTGTTCTGTAGTTTGAAAAAAATTTATTGATTATTGTGAAGTTAAGCACGTATTGCTGTTTAAATCACGAATAAAGGTAAAAAAAAATCGCGAACGAAGGCACAATAGAAAAAATTTTCACGAGCTAAACATTACCGTTCGGAGTTAGGACTGTAAATTCAAAATTTCGTTCGAATCTGTTCAGTAGTTTGGAAGAAATTACTTGATCACTGTGAATTTCGGCCCGTATTGCCACATAAATATGGCATAAACAAACGACGGCAAAATTCAAACAATTTTCACGAGCAAAACATCGTTTGGTCCTAATGAATACGTGTAGGTACCAAGTTTCATCGAGTTTATTTCATTAGTTTGAGAGATATTCCTTGATCATTGAATTTGGAAATTGGTCGTTAGACCGGCCGCGAGTCCGGCCGTTAATTTGTCCGAGAGGTAAACCCAGGAAAGGTTAAAAAGACAGATCTAGGTGAAAAAACCATCGTTGGGAGTCATGATGTGCTGCACGTATTGTGTGCAAATCGTCAAACAAACGTTCGAACTTCTGACACTGACTTCGGACTATCTCCCCTCTACCGCCCTCTTCTTCCTTACCGCTCCCAAAATCTTTTCACCGCCCCTAGGGGGGCGATATCGCCCACTTTGGGAACCACTGAGTTAAATCGACTTACTTTCGAGAGTAATACTTTTGGCAATGTTTGTACTGACAAATTATTGAGAAAATTATCAACCGAGTGGAATGTAATTATTTATATGAATATTTTTGCAGGTACTACGAAATAAACTGATTTTAAATAGCTAGAGCTAATTAGCGTTCCTGGAGGTGAAGCTGGAGCCCATTCGTCACATGTGAACATAACAACGTGAGTAAGCTTTATTGCGTGAGTGGATTCAAACGTACAACGCTAAGCATTCTATGTTGTGAACATTGTGTATAGGTATGTAAGTCACAGTAACTGGCCGTCCAAAATCATAAAGTTGTGTGTTACATACTTCTCCGTTTTATTAGAGTTGCTTAATTAATAAACGTTAGAGTCTTATAGAAATGCGTGATGGTGTGAAAATGTGAAATTAACCAATATTATTGCTTGTCTAAATAATATGCGTTTAAAAATTACTTTTTAAAGACAACACTTCTGAACAATCCAGTGTCTTGGATGTTATAAATGTACAATGAATTTCTAATTTTATTTTCAAATATAAAAAATAATTTTCAAAATTTTTTTAAGATATCAAAATTTTGTAAATTTTCAAAATTATTTATTCTGTCAATTGATTCATGCATTGTCTCTGACTTTATGCAATTGTGCAAAATTTTAGATCAATTGGACAGGTCAAATTGTGTCATACGGTATATGGATTATAAGATTTGTAGCAGACAGACAGACAGACAGACAAACAAGAAGTGAAGTTAAAGAGAAGTGTTGTAAATAAAATTACAGTAAAAGAACGGCCTAATCTTGGTCTATTTTTGGTCATAAAACCCAAAACAATATTAACTTTTTGTGTATATTGCATATCGTTAATATTTATAGTACGTACATATTTTTTGCCGATCGCGGGACAAAAACTTAAGCGTTACCGCATGCTTCAAAAATGCACGTAAATCGGGTTTCCTGCATTAGCGCTTCCTGTTGATGAAAAGCCGAAGTTCTAGTGCCACATGCGGTCTCAGAGCTCCTTGTCTTGTCAGCGTTATTGCTTCATGCCACTTGTATGCCTTGAAATGTTTTTAGATTTTATCAGTAGATGCAATTACCCAGAACCATTTTCCAACTTGAAATCGGTCAATATTATTACCGGGACCAATTTCCGACTTGATCCGTCGATTCTATTACCGAGACCACGATTGTTCTTGTTGATAAAATGATCTGTGTTTTCATAAGTCGAACGTCGTGTAACTATCTTCATGAACGGTGGCCCAGTGTTTAAAAATGTAAAAAATAAAAAATTTTGTATCCATTATTTTAAATGTTCTTGAATCAGTTCACTGTGCCTTTTATAAATTTCTTAGCGTACATATCATAATATTTTTTTTCTGTCTTCTGTATTCTAACGTAATTCTGTATGTGCAGGTTACAAGGCTGGCAAGTTACTGCTCATTCAATTGAAGATCCTCATTTGACCTGCAGTAGTCAGCGTTAGACACTTCAAGTAAACAACTTGAAGTACTGTCGAATTAAGACGGTCCTATCATACAAATAACAACTACGAATGTCAATGCAAGTCCTACAGGAAGCGGGGCTGAGTCCCTCACTTACACAGCTAGACGACAGCTTTCAAGCTGCCGCCACTGGCTTAGGTGGTCTTATGTCCACAATGAGAATTGAACACATTGACTCTGCCAGGGAGACGATGGTCTCAATGGACGCGCTGTCCGCACGACATCAGTTGCTTATGGCGACCAGCGCAGCGTTTATAGCGGCAGCTGAAAAGGCTGGAGATACTGCCAAAGCCTCGACCTGCCGCACGAGGACAAATGAGCTCTCGAAGCGAGAAAGCAATCTTCAGGTTTCATTAAAACAGAAGCTCTGCGATCTAGTGGACCGAGTTACCACCATGGATGCCGCATCACGAGATGGAAGAGTTCGGTCTGCCAGTATAAAAAACCTACCAAGGCCTGCCATGGAACAGACGGCAGACAATAAGGAACCAGAAGTTGCTCTGGCCCGACTTGCAATGGAACGCAGCGACATTGATTCCGTACCCATCAAGCTCGAAGCCGAGGAGAAAAATGTTCAGGATAGGAGCGAATCGTGCAAATCCATTCGAGGGAGCATTTCCCTACAATCGGCCCATTCTCGAGTAGGAGATTGGGTCGCCACTCCAACGTCAGGGATAAACGAAGAAGTAAGTGAGTTCGTGAAGAACTCAGACAGCGCTGCGCCCGCCATCGCCATGCGAGACGAAACTGCAGCGGAAACCGAAGTTGTACCTGTCAATACAACGGAAGAAACGTGCCATCAATCCTCTAAGATTCGTGCTCCTGAGGTCGTCAGTAGCCCCGTAACAGACCCCGTCCTGAGATCCCTGCTCATCGCCGAACTGAAGAAAGCTCCTAAGAACCCATACGCAGGCGAGCTACTGCAGTTCCACCCCTGGCTTCAAAGCCTGTGCCAAAGGATGGACGCGTTACAAGTGCAGCCCCTCGATGCCATAGAGGTATTAGCCAGCCATTCGACGGGTGCACCGCTTAATATAATCAAGATATACTCGATGGACAAGCTCGATGGACAAGCCAAATTGCAGCATATTCTCAACGTGCTCAAAGAAAGGTTCGGTTCGAGCCAAATGATTGCTGATTATTGGTATGATAATCTTCTCCTAGCTCCGAAGATTGGAGATTCAGATCTCAACATGGTTCGGAAACTAAAAACTTTCGGCAAGTTATGCCAATCCGTGAGCGACGCCATGGAGTTGGCTCCAGATCTGCGCTTGCTGGACATGTATTTAGGGCTGAAACCGGTTATACAAAAGCTGCCTGATTTTGTATTTTCTCTCTGGCTTACGAAGTGCTCGAATTATGAAAAAAGTTTTTTGCAGCACCCTAAATTCCAAATATTCTGTGATTTTATCAAGAGCATTTCAGACAGGCTGAGGGACGACTCCGAAATCTTGTCTGACTCCGAACACTTGCCTTCTTCTCATCCCAACACGAAGATGACACGCGTACTACTAGAGAGTTCTGAAGCTCATAGACCCTGCGCCTTCCATCCTGCAAGTGCCCACGAGACGCTGGAATGCTTTGCTGTGAAAAAGATGGACTCTGCTACCCGGCGACGTTTCATGCAAGATAAGGGATTATGTTACCGCTGCCTGGGTCCACACCGCGCCGCGGTGTGCAGAGAGGTGGTAAAATGTGACTCTTGCGGCAGTAGCAAACACCACACCCTCGCTCACTCCCGGCACGACGAACCATCCAATGCAAATGTAAACGCAACACCAAGACCCAGTCATCCGCGTGACTATCCGCGCAGCAGACAAGAAGGGCGAAGCTTTAGTAAGGTTGTTCTTGCTGACGTTTACGACCCGCTTTCGGAACGCACTTGCCGAGTGTACGTGATTATTGCCGAACAATGCAATATATCCTTCTGCTCTCCCTCGCTCCTCGATGAGTTTGGTATCACTGGTCCGAGGCTTTCGTATTCTTTGAGGACGTTAGCCCCCCCAAGTGGACCGAAATCGGGCCGCTTCGTGAACAACCTTATGATCAAGGGTGTGACAGAAGAGAAGAGTTTCAATCTGCCGCGGCTCATCGAGATCAATAATATTCCCGACCTGAAGTACGAAGTGGCAACAAGGGAAATTGTGGAGGATCATCCACGTATTTCCTGCTACGCTAAGAATTTCCTGCCACTGGACTCAAGAGCTGAGGTCGCCATCATACTAGGAGCCGACAGCAATCACCTGTTGGCTAAAACTTTGAAAACCACCAAACCACCATACGTGTATCAGACGCCACTTGGCTGGGCCTTGGTCGGTGCGATCAAGCACTTGGACCCCGTATGTACGGACATGGTCTCGCTTACAGTTCATGCTACTGTGCATTACGACTAGTCATGTACTCAATGTAGCGACCACTCACCCACTCAGTGAATGTAGCAATCACTCAGTTAGTTTATTGCTCTAGAAAAACGTATTTTTACAGCAAAAAAATTCCCGAGAATAGGATCTGTCGCTTAACCCTCTACGGCATGACATGAGTAACCGGAGCAATATTGTCACAATACTTCCCAAAAAGTGTACGTTCCAGTGAGCGTAAAATGACTTGCGCTGATGGTTGCCGCCACGTACGGCAAATTTAAAATGTTCTCTGTTGCGTAAAAACGTCCTCAGGTTGCTACAATCAATAGTTTACGTATAATTCAAGTTGAAAGTTATGTTCCCGGAGAGTAACATATAGCGATAGATGGTTAAAGATCATTACTCCTGTAAATGAGTTTAATGCGTGTAAATCACGTAGGGCATTTAGACTCACCCATAACTAATAAATTTGTAATCATATTTCTTCTCCCACCACGAATGTGCCATGAATATTTTTTGACTCTTGATACTAGTACCGAGATAGCGATCATTAATTTTTAAACACTTATAATATTATTTCTAATCAAGTGTCTTTGACATTCTGTCCAGGAACGGCGGCCTTGCACTTCAAAATCCGTATGTTATTTAAGGAAGAATATGCTCAGTGCTTGGTTTTCTTTTGATCAATTTCTTCGCTCAAATGCCATATTATATGCTTAGTGTTAGGTCTATTTTGGTATAAATTTATTCTATGATTACATTGCTCCGCTGCACAGTAAATGCCATACAAAGTAAAGAGCTTCATTTGACCTGCATTAAACGGTGACATCGATAAATTTCTCAGCTCAAACGTCATATTATGCTTAGTGTCGCAATCCTTAATTGCATAATTTGAGCGCTCAATGTACGAGCTTAATTTAATTCCCTCACTGGGCGTGAGATTGTCACCCTGGCAACGGTCGAGTTATCGAAGGCACAGAGATGGGAGCGACGAACTGTGGGTTCGAACGCTATACTTGTGAGAATATAGCGTTGCTGCTCCTAGGCGAGGCAAACAGCATTGTTTTGAACGCGTAGTCCAACATAACCAAGGTATCTGTTGCCTGTATCGCGCATACAACCCAGGCTCGGACGAATTGCCTTCGGCTGACTTCAAAACTCATTTGATTTGAGTGCAGGGGCTACCTCGAAATTCCAATGCCCTACTACTGTATATTGTCTCAATAATATGAATATATGAATCCATTTCCGGTACTTATAGTATGTTACTAGATTGAGCTGAGGTATAAAATTTTTGAATCCTCAAATTCTAGTTCGATTTTCTTAAGAAGTCATATAAACATCATTCATATGATTCCATGGCCGGCACTTTGAACCTCAATGTGTAATAATATTTTCGAACACGACTTCTTTAAAACCACGACTCCTTCTCGACCACGACTCCTCGACCACTTCTTCTCGACCACGACTCCTTCTCAACCACGACTCCTTCTCAACCACGACTCCTTCTCAACCACGACTCCTTCTCAACCACGACTCCTTCTCAACCACGACTCCTTCTCAACCACGACTCCTTCTCAACCACGACTCCTTCTCAACCACGACTCCTTCTCAACCACGACTCCTTCTCAACCACGACTCCTTCTCAACCACGACTCCTTCTCAACCACGACTCCTTCTCAACCACGACTCCTTCTCAACCACGACTCCTTCTCGACCACGACTCCTTCTCTACCACGACTCCTTCTCTACCACGACTCCTTCTCTACCACGACTCCTTCTCTACCACGACTCCTTCTCTACCACGACTCTCTCTAGACCACGACTCCTTCTCTCCTTCCCTCATGACGAACGTTCCGAGTTTCCGTGCTTCGTTCCCTCGTTGGCTTGTCGGAGTGGCCGACAAGAAAATCTCGTGTCCGGCAAATAAGATTTGCGCGTCTAATGCCGTCATCCCGGTCAAAGGAAGCTCTGCGGACGCTGGCCGGTCGCCACTCAAGCTTCATATCCGCGACCTCGTATTGAGTTACTCACCCCAGGACCTTTGCTCCAAAATGTCCTACAGGAATTAAAGTGAAAAAATTAAAATGACCGATAAACTATATCGTCTAGCGATGAACAATTTGAAATAAATTTATCAGAAAAAATTGCATTCAGGGTTAGTCGTTTGAGAAGGTTTTTAATTGATGCAGTATTGCGAAAATTTTCGTGGCACAAGAATTTATGAGAATGTAAGTAATTGAAGTGTATAAAATCACTCTTTGCTCAACCAACATTCATAAAGAAAATACTTTATAACAAATAGATTAGGAAAGAAAGATTCCTGTTACCTTTCACGATGTAAGTTTCATATATTTACATGTTTTGTACTAATGTCACTTGCGTTAAAGTCATGTTACATCATGTCATGTGACTTTACTCACGGTGAAAATATGCCGCCGCTTAAACTATTGTTAACAACAAATGTGATTTAATGCAGCATAGGTGATTTTTAATAATTATTGCAGGTAAATGGACGCGAATAATAAATCAGCTACAGAATGGTGCAGTCGTGTAATAATTCAAATAAAACGATCGCATCAAATAAGCAACTTGAATAAATGGATCAAGCGAGTGAAGAAAGACCGTCTTTTGACAATAAAAGTGTGTTACGAGACAAGTAACTTAGTAAGCTAGCAAGTTCATGTTTGTCAAGCCTTTTGACATATTCGTGGTCAATTGCAGAATAAAGATTTTTAGAGCTACACTGGTCACTCGCCGCTTTATACCCATCAGTATGAATATCAGCATCTCAAATAGTCATCAGTGTGAACATCAGTATCTCAAATTCTCATCAGTATGAACTTCATCAGCACCGTAATGATTGCTGTCCATCATTGTTATCATTGAAACTCGCAATAACCGGGATTGCAACTAGGAAAGGAAAATGTCTTCACGGCAATCCAGACAAGAAGTGGAGTCCCAACTAAAACGTTTCATTGATATCTTAAGCATGATTTTTAACGTTCAAAAAATGGCTTTAAAAGAAACAACACTTTGACTTCTGACGGTAACTTTCGTTACCAAGCCTGTAGGTACAAATAGCATTGACGACTGGTAATGTGTCTGTGGACAAAGCTTGGAAGTGTGGTTCACTGGCACTGAGTGTTCGATTGCGCTTTTTCAGCTGGAGCTTTGGGAAACTTAAATATCCATGCTTTCTTTATGATAAATAACATCTACCTATAGTAAGAACAAAATACAAGCTTCAAAAAAAAAATAATAATAATAATAAATAAAATAGAGATACAACAAAAATTCGAATCGATTTCAAGGAATCTTTCAAATAACTAGGCTGTACGTATCATGTAGAAGACCACAAAAAATATTAATATTGTCTTAGAATGGTGAACCATTCCGGCGTTTTTATTTGCCACTATAAGCATAAATGCCAACAAAGACTTGCCCGCTTTCCTGTCTTTGGCTTCCCACAAAACCAGTCTTTGAAGAGGACGACTTTTGAACGCATGCAGGCGTCAAAATCTCCCTGTTCGACGAGAACAAAATTTCAATGAAGCAGAACCCGCAACTGAAGAGCGACCGACTTCCATTAAAATGCCGCATTCAAACGAAAGATTTATTCTTAATAATTATAGGCAAGGCAAAGACGGCCTTCACTTGGCCTACTATAATACGAATATAATTTTTTGTTAGGTTGAAGAGCGCCTAATTTGCGTGCCGTTCTTCACTGCACTCAATTTGTCAGGCAAAAAACCCGCACGCTTGACGGCGACTGTAGTTCAGCAAGCAAAATAAAATGGCATCCTGTAATTAGATTTAACTGCTGCTTCAATGAGGTCACCAGGCTGAGAATTGTAAACTTGGGCAAGCTGTCCCGTGCTACAGTGTACCAATGGCATTTATTGTAGGTGAGTTTATAAATTAGTTAGTTTTATTCAAGACTGAATTAAAATTTTACTGTTAACTTTCAAATCGTAATTTCCATTTACAACTCAAATTGCATTAAATTAAAATAATATATCATCAATAAATTCCTTGACATTACTATATATTTTCTGGAGAGCCTTCAATCGTGTTGGCTATTTCATTTGATTATGCGTTTAAAATTTTCAAACGGCAATCCTCAAGAAAGAAATAGTCATTTAATATATAAACATCGGCGACTATTCCGCTCTATATTTCCCGATGTGGAAGTTTCCGAGGTTAAAAAAATGGCGCAATTGAAATGTATTGCACTCGAAAATTATTCAAACAGAAAACGGAAAGTAAACTGAAGAAATGAAATTTAAATCCGTTGTAACGAAAACTTTGGCATAACTGAACGAAAATTTTACGACAATCTCAACTTCACGTTGACAAAAATGCCCGTCAACGGACTGCGTCTAGTCTCTCTCGAACAATTAATAAATTCACCTTTTCTAAGACAAGAATAATCTTTAATTCGCCCAGGAACGCATTACATTTTTTTTCGGTAACGTTAGTTCAACTCGTAACCTTGGGGCCATACTTTCAAAACAAGCTATGTAAACGTAAGTACTTACGCTCTATTTTCTTGTCTGTGATTGGGAGATTTTGCTTGAAAGGCCGTCAATGATTGGCTGATGAACTTACGATCTCTTAACTTTTTTTTAAAGTATAGGCCAAGGCCCAAAAATAGCAGACACCCTTGCTGGGCCGCATCGTGAGAACTAAAGTCCTAACCTTGGCGCTTGGCCACGGTGCTCGTCCGATCCTCAATTGCGTTTATTAAGTGTCGACGCGCCGATAATTCGCCACACGAGTCCCGTTCCTAGTGCCGCCGTCTCTCTATTATCAAGTCCTAATAAGCAGCACGAGTTCGAGCACTGCTTCTCCACAACAAACTCGAGTTCGGACGTTAGCGTTAGCGGCCGCGTGCGCGGAGTCCGCAATCAGCACAACGCTCCATCAATCAGAATTAAAACTCAATTATTATTTAATAACTCTGGCCGCTGGAATACGATGTCCTTTCAGTTGAGGATGAATCATAATTAAAACTTTTGGAGTGAAAATCGTCAGAAGCGATTGTCTCCATCCCGGCTTATAAAAATATTTAAATTTCCCTTCTATTGAAGGTTTTATGACGGTAACGCACAGAAACAAGGCGAAAATTTGATATTGTCAGATTTCACTGCGTGTTTGAAAATAATTCATAATCTCAGCATACTACTAAGCATACAGCATCGAGCATATTAAGGTCAGTTAAAATTAATTGAGAATTAATATACACCCTAAAATATATATTTTTTCTATCATGGGCCCCGCACACACACAACCAATGGA